CAAAGGGTGGAAAAGGAAAGGGCAAAGGAAAAGGCAAAACCGTTGCTGAAGTGGCACCTGGTGAAGGTGACGGTGTGGATCTCACGGGAGATCAGGAATGGACTGAGCCAGAGTCTGAGGCTCATGTGAGCTCGGTGATGCGGTTACTCAACGAGATCGTTGAAGAGGCTCGACGGGATTGGATTCCGCCGGCCCAGGATGAGTTTGTGGTAACTCAGGAAACAGGTTTCAAAGTTCGGATGGTCGAATTGGAACATCGGATCGTGAGTGATCTCAGTGAGATGCTTGGAAAAGATGGGCCAGGGTCGGTGAACTTACTGAAAGGATCTCAGGTGAGTGGGCTTAATAGCCTGAACAACGACCAGATGGCAAATTGGTGGCTCATTGATTCTGGTGCTTCGGTAACAGTGATTGCCAAGAAGTTTCTTGATTCCTTCACAGTGGTGTCGAGGATGCCTTTGTGTCCGAATGAGAGGTACTCAGCTGCAAATGATACGCCTGTGACGGTGTTTGAAAGGGTGAGAGTGAGAGTAAAGATGCCTCTGTATGAGGGGGATTCGTATATTGGGATGGTCCCGGTGACAGTGACTGGAGTTGTAGCTGATGTTGGTCACAACATCTTAAGCACGGAGCACATGGTGGCTACCGGCTGGGAGGTGAAGTTTTCGAAAGCGGAGATTTCGCTTCGACGAGTGAAAGGAGGATTGGTTGGATACGGACAGTCCTGGGCTGGATGTCCGTGGATGTATCTGCAAGGTGCAGAAGCGTCAACCAAGAAGGTGACCTTTGGAAGGACTCACGTGAAGATGGATGTAGATGAAGAGGGTTCTTCAAGTCCCATGGAAGTTGGGAACCTGTCAGCTATGACTGTGAAGATGAAAGAGGAACTCGAAGTTCATCGGATGCGAGGACATATCCCTTTCATGTCTGGGTGTCCCCATTGTCAAAAGACAAGAGGTGTGACGCAACATAGGAGAGGCAAAGATGCAGGCAATCGCCCGGTGGAGCTGCAAGCAGATTTTTGTTTCATCAACTTGGTTACTGGTACCTTTGTTAAGGACCAGCCCAATGCACCCAACATGAAGATTCTGGTGATGACAGAGATGTCAACAAGGATGGTTGGTTGTGCCCTTGTTGGTACAAGTGCGGATCACACATCGACTTGGATCAGGTATTGGATGAACGCTTTTGGGTTGACGACTGCTGGATCTGCAGTGTTGCTTCGGACTGATAGTGAAACAGCTGTCAGCGCGTTGATTCG